GCAGCAGCAACTACATGGGTAACGTCCTGATGCTTCTCAGTAATCCAGGTAGAAAAATCAAAAGGACCTATATTTTTTCTATTATTTTCTTTTCTTTTTGGTTTTTTATGTAACCTTCCAGATTTGTCTCCCAGCTGTCATTTTTGTTTGTTTTTGTGTTGTTTCTTGGATGTGAGCTTGGTAAGAAATTGTCCGATTTGGATCCTTTGTGTCCTGACTTGCAGATATTTTTCGGAATCAGCAGCTGTTGAAAGAGTACAAAGACTTTTGGGGGAACACTAAGGTGAGCGCACTTGCTGCTGTCTTTTCGATAACAYGAGTAACTTTCTGCATCATGTGAAGGAAAAGCTTCCCATCATCATCAGGCTGTGTTTTTGTGACCTTTGTCCCCTTTACAAGGGGTCACAGCAACTGTGTGACAATTACATTCATGCATCCCCCTCYCTGTACTGTACTGATGTTATTTTAGTGACAGTACTGTACATCACCTGTCTGGTATGTTGTGGTATATTCTGTATTCTGCTGGCTTGTTTTTGCCAGAATGTCCATCCAGCTGCTTGGGGAGAAAACATTGACAGTGAAAGCACTGTATGAAATGTCTTAATTCTGTGTAACTCTAAAATCATCATCTACTGAAATTATTCACAGGTTGTTTTTGTTTCCTGATAACGGACACCCTGTTGACTGTTAATTTATTTTTGTTTCATAAAGCCACGATCAGGCAAGAGGACAACATTTCTACAGGGTCCAGGGAAGGTGGTCATGGTGGCCATTTGCATGTGAGTTTTCCCACTCTTCCTGATCTGCCTTGTTTGTGAATTTTTGTTTATGAATTTGTTTCATAGTTATTAGATTTATTGATCTGCAGCACACACAGGAACTAAAAGTGTTTGGTCCCAGTCAGCTCACGACTCGGCGTGTTGTGGTGTTGGCAAACTGAACAGCTTCCTTTTTAAAAATGATCAAGCATTACCTGGGACCAGCAGACCTTACTTTTATAGTTTTAGGAAATGATCAAACTTTCCATTCAAAAAGGTTCAGTTTTTAAAGCAAACCTGCACCATAAAAGGAAAGTTGTTTGAAGACATAATAAATGGCCTGCTCTTTGTGAGAATCTCAAAMTAAATTTTCTTGAACTCAGTTTGACACCAGCTAAGAAATGCTCAAAAATAAATAGCAGATACTTGAAAGGAATGTAGTGGGTGGGTACTTCGTATCACATGGGCTTCAGTTGAAAATTAAATTAGGGTGATTGAGTTGGAGGACACATGGAGTCACATGAGCACACAAACTCACGGGACTCAAATTAAGCAATAATAATAATCAGTGAGAGTCTGTACGAATTTCCAAAAGTTGCAGCATTTCAGTAAATGGTACTTATGGCAGTTGTTTATTCATTTTGTTTGTGTTTTCTTTGTCTTCAGCAATGGGTTGAATTTCTTCTTCAAGCTTCTGGCTTGGGTCTACACTGGATCAGCCAGCATGTTCTCAGAAGCCATCCACTCTCTGGCTGACACCTGCAACCAGGCCTTGCTGGCGCTGGGAATCAGCCAGTCTGTCCGCAACCCGGACGCCATTCACCCGTAAGCCCCACGCCCCACGGCGCTGCTTTTAAGTCACCTGAGCACCGAAAACCAGAAGTAAAACATTGAAATTAAACCAGCTGTCACACAGGTTTTCAAACATTACACCAGCCGGTTTGGATGTTACCAGTCCATTAAATGGACGTTAGTAGCTGTTATCAGTCCCATAGAATGGCTTCAGACTGTCCCGACAGTGCCCCCTAGTGGGTTACCAGTGCCATATATGTTGGAATGCAACAATCTGCTACTGCCAGAGTCCGGTCTACTTTATCGTAGCCCATGTCATTTTCTATAAAATAAACCTTAGTGGCTTTATGTCTCATATTAACCAGCTGACAGTCTGAAGCCATTCTATGGGACTGATAACGGCTAATAATGTCCATTTAATGGATGATAACATCCGAAGCGGGTGCATTACACTCGATGTAGAATAATTATGACGAAATACAAAAATTTGGGACAGTTAGGATAACACAGAGTGAGTACGTGTATAAGTCTTTGGAGCTAAGTTTGAACCATAAAGTTTGGTCTAAATAAAAATAAAAAATTAATTTGAAAGGAAAGGAAAAAAATCTGAAACAGAGAAATAAAGATTTAAAATGTGTGGGGAGGTGGGGGTATTTAAAATGAAAACAAAAATTCAAAACTACTTGCCAGATTCCAGGGTTGTTTTCAGTTTCAGATTTTTTTTYCCCAGATCTGGCTTGATTTTGGTGCCAGGGGCGGGACCTCAGGTGACGGGGTGTGGAATCATGACAGACAGTGGGAACTTACAGTGGAAAAAAATAATATTGAATTTTTTGACATGTTTTTTTTCCCACTACATAAGCAGCTTATTTCAGTGAAGCATGCTATTGTATCGTATAATTAAAACCGTATGGCAGGCCATTGTATTATATAATCATAAAAAAATGCCAGGCCGTGGTCATAGAAACAAATGTATGACATGTACACTGTATAGCAGGTCATTGAATCATATAATCAAAAATATGTCAGGGTTGTTGTAGGCCTGGGCAATCAATCAAAAAATAACCAACGTTTATGACAATAACCGACGTCATTTTCAGTGTTTAAAAAAATGAGGAAAAGAGAAACMTGCTTGTTTTCTGTTGCGGCCTCGTTAAAGCTGCCCAGTCTGATACAGGTTTAAACAGACGCTGCTTTCAACAAATCAAATGAAGCTTAGCGTCCCCCCCCCCCCCCAGGAAAGAAAAAACCTACCATGTTCTTTTTGTAGTTTATCATAAATATCTACAAATTTCATTCTTCACAATATAGCTTGCTTATATTTAGAACCATACTGTGACTGAACTGCTCAATAAATGATCAAATATGAAGAATAAATCGTTGATTACACGAGCTCACTAAATAATATAGTGTTTTTTAAAGAAATAGTAATTTTAATAGAGAAATCAGTCTAACAAATAAAACAAATATTTAACTTATTTTTGTGCAGTACAAAATATTTGAGATATTTAGTATAGTTTTTTTTATATAAAATTGTAGTACGTACATATTGTGTTTGCACTGAAAAGTTATGGAGATGGTTAAATATTTGTACGACTATATCTGACTCAAGTCTTGCCAAAAATGTTTTTTGTTTTTATAAATATATTAAGAGACACTAAAATGACAAATATGAACTACAGAAAAGCTGTTCAAAAATCAAACTTTTCCTTACAAATCCCTTTTGTCCAAATGGTTCAGGTTAAAGTTTTTGTATAACGTTTCATTAGAGAACACTAAACTGTGTACTTTGACTAAAAACATGGACACAGTGTATAGTGTTATGACTATACTGTACCATGTACTTGTGTGTGGTGATGGGTGGTAAGAGTTATCGTGCATTCATCGTTATCGAGGTGAACTGGTCAATATATTGTGATATTGAATTTAGGCCATATTGCCCAGCCCTATGCTGTTGTATCATATTATCAATAAATACGGCAGGCCGTTGTATCATATAATTTAATGTATGGCATGTACATGTTATAGCAGACCATTGAATCATATAATCAAATATATATACGGCTGTTGTATCATATAATTATTAGTATGGAAGGCCATTATTTTATATAATTCAATCTGAATGGTAATAATATGCTTCACTGATATAAGCTGCTCTCAACACATGACACAAATCTCAGAGGAAGATATGAATTGACAAATTCAATATTTCCCGCAGTTCTGAATGGTAAAGCTCCATATAACTCCGTTAGTAGTATTATGCTGCGTTCACACCAAACGCGATTTCAGCTTCAAAATCGCAGCCAACGCTGAAGTTGGTCGCCTGTGCACTTTGAGGTCAGACGCAGGACAGCTCTTGAAGCGCTGCACGGCAAGAGCCTCCCCGCCCCTCCCTCCTCTGTCGGGCTCTGTTTAATGTCGGACGAGGAAGTGGCTCTGCTTTATTTACAGAGAGCCAGAGCGTGTCACGTTCATCAGATAATTAATTCATAATTAATTCACCAGATTATTCAAGAGTAGAGGCTCACAGCTCGCTTTCAGGACTATTTTTCCAGTCTGATGAGTCGCTGCCACGCATTGGTGAGGATATCTCCTGTCAGGACACCGACTGCAGGCACTCATTTCAGCTAAAGAGCTCCTCTCCATTTGTTTCAGGTTAGTGGACATCATTCAGTAAACTGTCCCGTTGGGAAATATGTCGCTACATCACACAGTGGAGTCTCTCTGATTGGTCGACGCGGCGCGTCGAGCTGCAAAAGTTCAGATTTTCTAACTTCAGCGATTTGCGCCCTCAGCGCGTCGAACGCTCAGATCGTTCAAATCGTTCAAATCGCGCTGCTCGAATCGCGCTTGAGGCGCCGCAGCACTTCCCGACGTTGTTTGAAGCGCGTCCACCATAGACTTTGTATGTAAACCTGCTGCTCCTGATGCTGAAATCGCGTTCGGTGTGAACGCACCATTAGTCTGAATGTTGCTTTTTGTTCTTTTCAGTTATGGCTTTTCCAACATGCGCTACATCGCCTCTCTTATCAGTGGAGTAGGGATTTTTATGATGGGAGCAGGCCTCTCTTGGTATCATGGTATTATGGGATTGTTGCATCCGGAGCCCATTGAGTCGTTATTATGGGTAAGTGTTTGCGTTGCTATTAGCTTGGTTTTTCAAAGTAATATTTTATAAAGTAACCAACGTGTAGATTTGAATCTTCCAGGCTTATTGTATTTTGGCGGGTTCTCTGGTGTCTGAAGGAGGTTGGTTCACAAAATGAACTTTTCCAGTTTCTGCAAATTTTGTTTATTTTGAATTAAAGCATTTTTTTGTCCTTCTCAGCCACCTTGCTAGTTGCCATTAATGAGATCAAGAAGAGCGCACGCCGGCAGGGGATATCGTTTTATGAGTATGGTACGTACTGAAGTCTGCCACCAGAATGTGATTCTGAACATGCGATGAAGTGTTTGTGATAAACTGCATGAACTCTTACTTGATAAGAAAAACTGAGCTGACTACTGTAAATGTGTGTTTCATCAACTTGACTCGCATGTGACACAGCAGTGTCAACGCCGCTGTTTTCAGTMTGAGTCACTTAAACTAACAGATTTGTTGTGTATTTCCTGTACAGTGATGCAGAGTCGAGACCCCAGCACGAACGTGGTCCTGCTGGAAGATGCCGCTGCTGTGTTTGGAGTCATTTTGGCTGCTGGCTGCATGGGGCTCACCTCACTCACAGGTAAAAAGATTTTTTTTTTAAATTATTCTCACAGGACAATCGTATCTCGTGTTMGTTTCGATGGTTGCACGTTGTTTTCAGGTAACCCGTACTACGACAGTCTGGGTTCTCTTGGCGTCGGCACGCTGCTGGGCACCGTCTCAGCCTTCCTCATCTACACCAACACGGARGCGCTGCTGGGACGCTCCATACAGGCCGAGCGTGTCCAGAAGCTCACAGAGATTCTGGAGAACGATCCAGCCGTCAGGTCAGCAAATTAATGGTTGAAAACACMGGTTTTATGATRTCAGGCTTTGAGTTTTCATACAAACAGAAATAAATCCATCAGATGCTTCCATATTTGTACAGAACAATCCAGTTTAATTCCTCATTTWCAGACTCTTCCTAACAATTTAATTACAACCTACCGGTAAATTTATTTGATTATAAGAGACRGAGATCAGCAAAATTACCTCCAGTGTTTGTTCTCAAGAAGCAAAATGTATTACCACAAATCATTTTTGCACCGTTTATCTTCTCGGTCACAGATTAAACTCTTTTTTTTTTCGCAAAAACATTGTATCAAGGTGACGTGTTGTGGAGATTTCCTTCAAATGTTTTATTTTTCTGTGAACAGAGCCATCCATGATGTGAAGGCCACAGATTTGGGGCTGAGTAAAGTTCGCTTCAAGGCTGAAGTTGACTTCGACGGCCGAGTGGTGACACGGTCGTATCTGGAAAAACAAGACATTGACCAAATCCTAAACGTAAGTCTTTACTCACATTTACATAAAAACAGTGTTAAAATATAGTGTTAAAAGTAACACCAGCCAGTGTTCAATATTAAACAATATTGGGTGTCACACTAACATTTCAATAGTGTTAAAATATAGTGTTAAAAGTAACACCAGCCAGTGTTCAATATTAAACAATATTGGGTGTCACACTAACATTTCAATAGTGTTAAAATATAGTGTTAAAAGTAACACCAGCCAGTGTTCAATATTAAACAATATTGGGTGTCACACTAACATTTCAATAGTGTTAAAATATAGTGTTAAAAGTAACACCAGCCAGTGTTCAATATTAAACAATATTGGGTGTCACACTAACATTTCAATAGTGTTAAAATATAGTGTTAAAAGTAACACCAGCCAGTGTTCAATATTAAACAATATTGGGTGTCACACTAACATTTCAATAGTGTTAAAATATAGTGT